AGCAGTTCCACAGTTTCATTTTGGAGTTGTATTTTACCACTAAATCACTGTACACAGCAATAGTGTACACACCCTCCACCCATCTTGCAAATAGCATCACGACAATACAGCCGCCTCTGGTATTACCAGCTGGCCCAAGGTGTACTCCAGAAGTGTATAGGGAGACATTAGTGATTTTGACTTTGCTCAGTTATCCGCTCACAGAAAACAAACAGGTTTGCCTCATTGGGATTTGAAGATCAATTGTCAAGGGGTCATGGCATGTCAAACTTTAAGCATACACTAATCCTGAGTCACTGCCAGGCAAACTCCAGAGAGCACTGGAGCGTGGTGTTCCCTTCCCAGCTGACACTGCTGATTGACTAATGTATTCCTTCTTATGTCCTTCATCATATCCCGCCTTTCTTTTGGGAATGCATGAACTCTTTGGGACTTCTCCTTCTTCAGAAGTCTCCCTCTACTCGTTGCATCTTTTTTTTTTAATTCTTATTTATGTTCTATGAGCTACTTATTTCCCTCATTCGCTTTTATTCAGTAGACCAACCTTTCCAAAGGCCCAGTGCAAATGTGCTTTACTTCCCCACATCCTGCAGTGGATTTTGTGACAGAGTAGTCCCTAGCACAGACATTGAGCAGGGGGAAAGCACATACCCAGCTGTTAAAACACAGCACCAGAAACACTTATTGTCCTGTATTCAGACACAATGCAGAGAATGCATGAATGCTGACGACGTTCTCCACTGCAGAAATACATCCGTATGTCACTTCCCTCCTGTGTACACCCAGGCTCTGAGACTCACAGGCACTCTAACGAGGAGGAAAAAATAAACCGTACTCCAGGCCCAAACTTAAATGTGCTGAACACTCCATTCCCAGCAGTTTGCTTCTTGAAGTTGAAGCACAAGGTTAAAGTGCAGTCACTGAAAGAAGTGTAACTGTTGATTGCAACAGATGGGCATCCACCCATGTGCCAGCTCAGGCTTCATTCTCAGCCAGAGCACTTGTCACTTACGGCATGCAAAGTTTGGCAGTTAAGATCCTGCCAACCTTAAGAATTTTTACATATGTCGATTTTCAGAACTGCCATCAATGAGGAACAGCTTCCCTCTCTGTTCACTGTTTCCACAGAGTTGTCTGCTTTAACTGACATGTCATTCGGGCTGCCTTACACGGAAGCAACCACCTGACAGAGCTGAGGTTTGTTACCCTCCTGGGTGATTTCTCTTACCTCCCACAGGCAGACAGGTCACATGCAGGCTCTTCTTCTCCCACTCTTTGTTGTCTTCCTTCATTACACAGATGCTCATTAATGCTGGCTACTGCATATTATTAACTTCTTCAAAACAAACAGAGGAATAAGGTTTAGTCTATGTGATGAGTGTGCTAGGCTGTACAGATAAAGCAGCAGAACTGTGCTTCACAACCAGCATACTAATCCCACGGAGACCAGGGGAGCAAGTCGTACCAGTAAAAGTGCAGTCTCTGCGTTACAGCCACATTAGGACTCTTGCTAACACAGCTCTGGCAATCAGCAATCACGCTTGTTCTGCCCCTTGGGCTATCTATGCTGTGAGATTGCTGTGGCAAAGCACAACATCTAGGTCAGCTTTCAAGATAAGCTCACTCAGGTAGCACACAGCATTCAACAGTTGGCAGCATATGGGATAGGGAAGCAGGGTACACAGAGAGATAGAAGTGGAGACACCTGGCCCAGAAGCACAGTCAAATTTTAATTATCTTTGTATTTGCATATATATCTTTGCAGCCACTACATTGAAGTACAGACACTGGAGTTTGGCTCTGACAGAATTTGTTAGCTCAGTTACATCAAAGATACTCCCAGGTAGTGCTAATAAATGTTGGCAGCCTTGAGACAGTCCTGTTCCGGTGCCTCTGCACGACCCATCGCAGCACTAACGATTCCAGGTGATTTATGAACTGCAGTACAGCTATGAACCCAAACTACCTCCATGCAGGCACAGCACTGTGCATGAACCAGATATGCCTTTCCCCCTTCCTCTGGCCACCCAAGAACCAGACAACCAGGGAAGCTGGTGCAGGCATACTTAAATGACTGTGAAGCTTATGTCATGCAGGCTAGCGCTGAATCAGTTAGTCCTACAAACAAGTCAGCCCAGCATCTCTGCACTGCACCCAATGCACCCTTCACAATCACTGGTTATTTCTGTATTATCCAAAGTACCTCCACCTCCTTTGGCCTAGATAAAAGAGAATTGACTACGTAGTCAGCTCGTTGTACTGGTCTTGCCAGCAAACAGCACCTGGAGAACGTTTATCTCCGATCCTACAGGTTATCATTCATGAGACAAAATATAGGTCCATAGTCTCTTCTGGCTGTTTTTGAGTCAAAACGGCCATAACTATTCTGCTTGCACTGAACTTAATGTTGTTGCTGGATATTAACTATGTCCAGAGTGCACATACCAGACCAAATGCTTCTCCAATGAAACATGAGTCTCAAAGGCCTCTAATGGTAGGTAAGCATTACACTACTCAATTCCCAGGACAGTTGCACCACTAGACACGTGTTACGTGTCTTCAATCATTACATCATTATTAGCTAGACAAAGCAAACACCAAAATTGTTGGGCCTGGATAGTATTCATCCAGGAGTCCTAAGAGAACTCAGGGACAAAATAGCTGAATTACTAACAAAGCGTGTTACCTCTTGGCAACATTTCCAACACTGGAATACTGGGTGCCAGTGCCATTATCTACAATTTTAAAAAAGGTCCAGGGAACTACAGTCCTGCAAGCCTAAAATCTGTATTTCGCAGATCAGTCATTATTATAGAGTCTATAACAAAGGACAACATTAAGGAACTTCTGGATCTTCCTGGGAAGAGTTACCATGGTTTTTGTAAAGGGAAGTCTGGCCTTAAAAACCTTTTGCAGTTCTTGGAAGAGGTCAGACACACGAAGGGAAGGCTGATCCAGCTAGTATAGTCTACTTGGATTTCCCAAAGGCTTTTGACAAAGTCCCTCATCAAAGACTTTTAAAGAAAACTAAGCAGCCGTGAATATGAGGGAAATCATCTCACGGATGAGTAATTGATTACAAGACAGGAAACAAAGGGTAGCAGAAAATGGTCTGTTTTCACAGCACAAGATCATCAGTGGAGTTCTGGACCTGTACTCTTCTGCCTATTCACAAATGGTCTGAACAGGGTTGAGCTGTGAGGTGCGAAAGTCTGCTGATGACACAAAGCTATTCAGATTCAAAATAGTAAAGGCTAAGGCAGGCTTCAAAAAAATTACAGATGAACCTTGCAAGACTGATTGAGCAATAAACTTGCAGATGAAGCTCAATAAAGATATCCTTGTGGTATTACATAGACACACACAATTCACAGCCTTTACAGCATACAATTTGTAACCCTTGGACTCCTGGCAGAACACTGGTAGCATTCCATCACACAGATAGGGCGCCCTTCCTTTGTGTTACTCATTACCCTATCTACAACAGGAAGCACATGGACTTGGCTTTTCAGCAAGGGAAAAGACATTCTCGTACTCTGTTTATTGTACACACAGGATAAGGGAAGAGTTCAGCTAGCAGCTTGTAAAGATGGCACAAACTCCTTTCTTCCCAAGAAGTTCTTGCAGTCAGTCGTCGCCTCTTATTTACAGTTATTTTCCAGTAAAGATGCTTGGTTGCACCTGTAGTTCGGTAATCAATAAGCAATTACTTCCCTGCGTTTCTGTCAGCAAACAGGAAGAGTAAACAGCGTTCATATCTGAGAAGTGTGCGTGTACCACACAATCTAAAGAGTTGCGCAGCACTCTCTGCCCCTCAAACAGACATCAGTTAAGATAATAAAAACTGTTATTTCAGATTGAACTTTTGCAATACCACCACAGAACATCCTACTCTTGTGGTAAGCAACCGGTAAGAGTCAGTAGGCAAGACTGTGGCAAATAAGTATTAAATAAGCCCTAACTTTCCTTTGAAGAGAAGAGTTAGAAGTACTTCAAACAAACCTCTGTATCTTTGCTGTGTGTGAAAAACAAACTACTGAAACTGCAGCTGCTTAAAAGAAACATCCATTGATTTTAGTAACAATTTCAAGTTTGCCACAATAGACTGAAAGTCCAGCATGAGCAAATCTTCATTCACAATGAGGAGACAAACTTGTTAACAAGCTAGAAGAATATGAAAACCAAAGAAGAAGGGTAGGAGTTAACTAGCACACACATACAAAACAAATCTCAGAAAGAAACTAGTACTTTAATAAAGAAATACTATGGGGCTCTAAGCCATATGAGACTGCTTCAAGCTCCCCTTCCTTACTCTCTGTATTTGAAATGGTGAGCTTTTCCCATCTATATACCAGTTGTCTCAGACTACTCTTTGGACCAAAGACTTTTCTATTCGCCTGTGTTTAAAAGGACCCTGTTATAACTCAGTCTCAGATAGGTCACTTTGATACTAGTGCAATTCATAACTTGGTAAAACTTACTAGGACTGCAAAATTTGAAAGAATGCATTTAAATCCTACCACCAAACCTATATCCATCAGCTTTTCAGATTAAAAATAAATATGATTCCATGTTCCTGAGTGGTCACACATATTGGGGATAGGGGAGGAGGCTGTAAGATACTGTAGAAATTCAATGGGCCTGAAGTTCGGTATCTTGTTATTTCCCCAAGGTCCCGAATTGTTCGCTTTTAGCTATCTGCTCCCCAGACTCACTTCTTCTTAGGAAAGTTTGCTCTAATGGAATGCATCATGAGAAATGATTTCCTTAACCCATTTACATGTTATAGCTACAGTTCTGTCAGAATTCTTATTCGCTACTAGGAATAATACCTTTGTTCCCTGAAACCAGGTAATGCAAGTTGAACCACTCAGCATATTGAAGAGCATTTAAAAGCATAAAAGAAAACACTCCACTCAAATGTGTTATAAAAAATGTCTTATTTAGATATCTTAAAAAATACAAGACATTACACAAAAATCAAGTAGCTATTCATCAGAACGCTGTTAAATAACTCCATTTATGATCACGTACTGGCAAGTGTTAAGTAACAGTTTGCCCATGTGTATAATCTCAACTCACACATTTTATTTATCTCTGTGCTAGCTGATAACAGGTTCAGCTTGCCAGCTCAACAGGACAATCTTACCAGGCTTCTACCATGTTAGTATTACAACATGAAAACTTGGAAAACAATATAAAATTAGATCATACTATGGTTAATAAACAGTCACGCTGCTGGACCTACAATGAGACGGTGAAATAAAACGATTCTCCTCTCCTTCTCCCTATGGTTTCAAATAACGTTCAGTGGAGGCAGGTACACAGAGCAAGGTCCTATACAGACAATCTGTTCAACTGTTTAATGTATTACTGTTAAAGCCAAACAAAACAGAATTTCTCTGTTAATTAAATACACTAGTAACAGTACACAACATTCCAGAGACACTATGCATTTTAACATCCTCGAAACTGAAGAAAAACGTCTTCAAATACAGCTCATTTTAAGGCCAGCAGCTCTTTTGTAGAGCATCAGAAATGTCACGCGTTTTTTTCAGTCTAGTGGGAAGATCCACCTGCTGGTGATTTCCATACAGAGTAAGCAGTTACCAGTTTTGAAATTAAGACTTCACTGTGAACCAAAAAGCAAAGCTGTTTCTTCAGGCTCTCTTGCACAAAATAACTTTGTCACTTATATCCTCTAAGCAGTACTAAAGGGTTCACTTTTCTCCTAACTCAGTAGGTTGATTTAGTTGTTCCATTTGAGTTTGAGGAGTAAGAATTTGATTTCTTGGGGTATCTACTTGATGAGAGAGAGACTTGCATCCGCCGGGTTGTTCGCACACTTCGACAAAGAAGAGCGTTTTTAAGGTCGTCTCGGAAGTCTTTTGAAATATAATAATAAATGAACGGATCAATACAGCTGTTTAGAGTAGAAAGACTCAGTGCAGTTATGTACAACGCATACAAAGAACTCTGGCCATGGGTCTTCAGGAGTAAATAGTGCACAACAAGCAGCACATTGCTAGGCGTAAAACAGATAAGATACATGGACAGGACAGTAATAATAAGCTTGATTGCTCTTTTTCGTTTCTTTCCAGTGTTTATGTCTGAAATGGAAGCATTCAGAGTCTTAATCATTAGTATGTAAGCAACAGCAGTGAGGAGAGCTGGGAATAAGAAGAGTCCAATTGCAAGTGAGAGGAAGTAACTGAACATGTCATGTGCCAAAACATTTTCAGGCAACACATCATGGCAGGTGGTGATGTTAAGTTCTGAAATATGAACAGTCTGATTAACAAGATACAATGGAATGGTGCCCAAGAAAATCAGTATCCAGATAGCAAGGGAGATGCCCAATGCAATTTCAGATTTCTTTCTTGAATGCACTATGGGGTTCACTATGACCCAATACCGTTGCACACTAAGGCATGTCATAAAAAGAATGGAGCAGTACATATTTCCATAGAAAAATCCTACAAGTACTTTGCAAAGACCTTCACCAAATAGCCAATTATTGCCATTTACATGGTATGCAATCTTCAGTGGGAACCAGACAACAAAGAGAAGGTCTGCCAATGCCAGGTTAGCCATATATATCACAGCAGGATGTTTCTTCTTTGTTCTGAAAAAAAAGACCCAGAGGGCCATGGCATTGCTTGGCAAACCAACAACAAAGACAATGACATAGACTATGGGAAGAAAAACTGTAGTCAGCTTTCCTGTAAGAACCTTTGCTGCAAAGTCATCCACTTCATATGACTCTCCAGAGGCATTACTTGTATTTGGAACTTTCTGGCCAATGAAACTTCTTCCTTTTGAATTGCTGGTTCCGTTTCTCTCTATAAAAAAATAAAATTAAAAAAGTGAAGTTATTGCAGTAGAGACCGTTTTTTCCTTGTCGTTCTTTTTCCAACTAGACAGTATAATCTACTCCGAAGAATTAAAGATAATTTTTCTTCCCTTCATTTTAGTTTATTATCCAAAAGACAACCTATATCCCTATGCAAGGATTACACGAGCAACCAAAATGCTTTTCCGCCTCACATGACCGATACAAAAATACCACGTTAAAATGGCTGTCAGGTGGCTCCTTCCATCAGAACAGTTGCAACAGAAACTGCTCCAAGTACCCCAGGGTATCATTACCCTTTCTCATATCAGACCCAGATTATCCAAGTGCTGGGATTCATAAAACTTTGCAGCAGGCTTACAACGTACGTACAGTAGAAATGTCCTCAGCTTAGACAGACAAAACCAGTTATGTGGTAAAGAAAGCATACTGTCCTCAACCAGGCTAGCTTGAACTGAAACTGTCAGAATGCAATGTGGAAGGCTATAAACGAGTGACCTTTAGGAAAGAAAGATGCATGTTTACATTGTACCTGAACTGAAATGTGAACAAACAAACTTTGTGCATGATGAGGCAACAGGGCTGATCATCTGGGATCTCCTTTCAGTTCAGACCAAATGGTCAGGTAACCTCTACAGCTTCTACTCAAACCACTAGACTGACAGAGCTGACAGCTGTGATTGCTTAGTACACCAGAAAGCTCTCACTTCATTTCGCTCTGTCTCTCTGAATGCCACAGGAACCTATAAAAGCATGCCAGCAAGCCAGCAGTTCCCGAATGTTCTGTCTTGTACAAAGCCCTTCGGATGACTCAGTCCAGAAACCCCCCATGACATCTTCCAAACCCAACAGCCCTCTTGTGAGAACAAGTTTAATTGCACAAAAAGATACTTTCAGTGAACTTGCTCTGTCCCATAAATCACACACCCACCAAGCAAAACTGAAGGAACGTGACTGTCTGTGGGAAAAGTATTTTAACCTTATCTCAGTCTCTGTCAAGAATTGTTGAGGATTATAGGCACAGAACCCAGGAATACAGAGTCTTCTTGAGCAAGTAGGTTTGTGTACAACAAGGCATGAACAGTATGGCTCCTCTGTTACTTAAAATGAAAAATGCTTAGCCTTTACATTTGAAAGTGCAAGAAAAGAATCCCCACAAACTAAACAGACTAAAAAAGATAGCTTCTAAAAAACCTCCACAACTTTAGATAGGTGTTACTTTCCAGTTGTTATTGCAAAGTCTGATGCACAGTATTAGGGTCCTATCTAGACTGTGTGATCTCCTAAAGAAGTATAAAAAAATAGCATATATTGGCATTCTTTAGAGTTAAGAGTGTTTTGAATTAAGTTACCCTAGCTCCACTTAGCAAGGGTCTGTCAAGTTCCAGGCACAGGCAAGCTTCACTGGAAAACTGAGGTATAAGAAAGCTTTTTGGCAGTACAGTTACAGAGCCAAACCTTTGTAGTAGACTACATGAAGCCTATGCTGAAGAAGTCTGAATCGTACCAACAAAACAACAGCCCTAATGAAAGTAAACTTGAATGCCAAAGAGTCCTTTTGGCCTGCTTGAGGTGTAATTGCAACAAGGCAGAATTATGCAAATTCTGCTCTCAGCTCTTCATGCAACATGACTGTGTCAGCTACACCAATTAAAGATTACAACTCCTACTTGTATATTAGAATGCCAGGTTTCTAACTCAAGCTGTAAACAGTAAAAGCCATAAAATCAACCTGAATAACATAGCTTATATAAATGTCAGATGTAAAAGATAAACAGCTAAGCAATGCAGCCATCCTTATGCTTACAGCTTCGCTGAGAAAGATTCCAGAGCTGCTTGAAAGCATACCCTTCAGTGAGCGGAGAGCAGCTCTCAGAGCACAGAGTACAGTGCTATGTCAAGCAGCTGTCCCTCAATAACTAGTCAGTTTTATCAAATTCCAACCATACTATTCGTATTCCCAGTTCCAAGCACTGATATTTTTGTGGAAAACTGGCACACCAAATACTAACACTTTGTTCTTATTAATGTTTTGTGAGCAGATGTAGAGCAGTGCTTTGAAATAGATGCTCCTAGCCTGCGTTGAGAAAGTGAAGAAAAACGATCACCACAAGAACCTAAAGCGTCACCAAGGAAACCTAAAGGGTCATTGTGACACAAAAGAACAACAACTCTATGAAATGACATCGATTAACGTACATGTAGCTCCCATGGAGGACTTAGTACTGCCAAGAGAGACCAAACAGAGGCAAAGATTTGTTTTGTTCTTTCTTTGAATATGTAGTCAAGCTGAATCAGTATTCTTGATTTCGGGCATCAAGTTTTGCTTTTATGCTGATTTTAGGTAGGAAATGTTTCACTTCCACCCTCCAAACTTCTGATTGCAGACACCGGGCAGGTTTTGTTAGCTCACGTGGCATGCATATTGGGAGACAGTTCAGTATCCAGTTTCTCCCCCCAGTTAGCACTCTCTCACAGAGCTACCAATCCTTTGTCAGGTATGTGCATTTTCTATGTCCTTTTCTTACTCCTCCTGTTCTTTCAGTTTTCCATAACAATTGCGAGGAGTTCTTTTCCAAGCATGGTTTCACCCTGACTCATGTACAGAGAATGCAGCTCACTTGCTAATCTGCCCACGGGAAAAGCTTCCTTAGTATCAAGGGGACAGACAAACTCCCCTCCCACAAGAAAAGCCTATTTCAACACATTTGCCACTGTTCAGAAGATATAGCCTACTGCATACCAAACTGAAGATTATACCTACCCTGCAAATGCAAAGGTGACAAGAGCATAAAGTATCCAAAATTAACTAATTGGGGTCCCAGTAGCAATATTACTAAGGTTAAGATTACCCCGGATCTTGGATGTGCAGCACAGACTCGCCAGAACCCCATAATGGCATCAGCCCGTCTGAAAACGCTCACAGTCAGGTCTCCCGACTTCTGGCGGCTCGCTCTTCCAGCTCACCTCACTTCCCACCACCAGAAGATCAAGTGCCCAGCGAGGACATTTGTGCACAGACTACTTCCTGCTCCCCCCGCCCCAGACGATTCTAAGCCGCCCTTCCTTCCCCCACAGCCCTGGCCCCCTTCCCCCTTAACGAGGATAGCGGGAGTCATTCACGATCTCATTAGCATCAGAAACTTCACTCGGAACCAGAAAACTTGCAGCAAACAGCTTGTTGATTTTTACCTCCCTAAGATTTTAAGGTGAATACCACCTTCTTACTAAAACCTGTAACAGCTCTAGATAAACTCTCTGCTTTGACGATAGTTCTCAAAAAGACAGTGGAAAGACAAAAGGCCTTTCCTGACATGCACAATTACGCTAGTTACTAGTTTAACTCTAGGTGTTTTAGGCAAATTTAATTAAAAGTAAACAAGATGCTAGATGGCATTTTTTGTTGTTTCAGGTCCGCTTATCAGCGATTTAGCTTTAAGTCACTCAACCAAAACGTATCACACAATAAACCAAAATTAGAACATCTATTACTGGCATGCACTTGTCCACAGGTGATGGCCATATCTCGAAAATCTGGTGTCTATTTGTTAAAAAAGTAGGATCTACCATAAGTTTGGCTCCGTTACTTACACAGCCTCTACACATACATGTATTACGTAAATAAGCACTAATGTACAGGAGGAACAAGTACAGGAGGACACGGTGCAAAGAGCATGCGTGCAGATGGCAAGGGGTTTTACTATAAAAGGCAGTGAAACACGACCCTTAAGGCAGTGAAACATGAATGCCTGTCTCTCTTTTAACAGCACTTATGTTCCCTATGCAGTAACACAAACCAGCCAAGTTAAGCGTTAGGATTAAGAGGCCACCCTGGCTTTCCAGGGATAGGAAAGGACCTCCAAGACTCCAGTCTTTAGGGGCTCTTACACCTCTCAGGCAATACGCCGGCTGAGCATCACAGCAGCTGCTCAGAGCGGTGTTGCTGGGGCAGGCTACGCGCGTCCCGGCGGGCTGCTCGGCGGGCTCCGCTCCGCG